CATTTTCAAGAACTAAACCTTAGAGGTTGTCATGTCATGCTTCGTATTTTAACCTTGAAAACTCTTCCGAAGTAACTCTTAATTTTCTCCCCATGAGTGCAATAGGGGGCGTTGTCATAATCGTGGCATCCTGCTAGCAAATCGTGGTGCAGGGCATCTCATTTAGGTGAGGGAGATAATAAGTTCATCATGGAATCCTGCTCATGGTACATATACCATAGCATCCCACCTAAAGAGAAATAGGGGCCTCGTGGTACACTTCGTTAAGTGGGATAATGGTTACTTCAGGCATGGATCCTAGCAACTTGTTAAGCATGATGTTTGCATTAACCTAGGTGTTTTCTTGGATTCTTGGTGATCCTAAGTTATGCATAACATCTTGGGTCAAGTTTGAAACTTATAAGTTCTTAGGAATAGCCCAGCATGATATTGTGCACGTAGTATCTATTAGAGACCAAGGGTACATTTGTAGAGACCAAGGGTACATTTGGGGAATCTATTATTTCAGGGATACCACTTTAGTTATCCTAGGAGGTAAAGTTATATGGATCGTGATGAGCATTTTCTCCCATATCTTGGTTTCGCTACTAAAGTTTTCCAATAACTCTCAAACTTCATTACCTTATATAACCTCTGGGGATAAGGATTCATACAACATTTCATAAAATAAGATCTACTGAGAAAACCCGAGAAAAGGTCAAATTTTGAGTTGACTTGGACAATTCTGTTGAACTGGCCGTATCATCGTTTTCTTCCTCTGAACAGGAAGAAGATGCGTATTTTTCGCGTCGCCGGCATCTGAAACTCAGCCTGTACAGCCACATTACAGCGTTTCTCTCCTCGATTTCTTCGTGAAACTTAAAGATGGATGTTACAAGAAAGGGCTAGGGATTTATTTGATAACTTCTCGTGGATCGTAGCCTAAGATATTCGCTACCAAAGTTCATCCAAAATCTGATTTATTGCTGGAGATAAAACAAATGATTTCTTATTGGGTAGCCGATTCTAGGGGTTTCAAGGCCCTATTTCTTCATTGAACCTCTTCCATATCCTATCTTCAGGCTAAAGGAATTGTTTTGGAGGAATGAACGTCTTTGAGTGTAGGACCTTAATTTCCAGAAATCGTTCTCGGTATGCAACTCACTCGAAACGCCAGATTTTCGATCTCGTCGGTAGCTTATTCTACGACGTTTCAGCTCTCGATTCCTTCATCAAGTTTACTCAACTTCTTCCTTTGAAGCTAGAGGAATCCTTAATTGAAGGAAAAGAGATCGTCGATAGGAATTTTGAGTCTTATCCCCAATTTAATTTCGAAACCTATTTCCTTTAATTGGCAGGCTCTCGAGGTTATTTTTCTTCGTGGTCTTCTATGGAAGCATTCCTTTGAGGTGCAGAAATTGATTGGAATCATTCTTGCTCGACGAGTCATCATGTATCCTCAGATTGGATTTTCAAGTTTTTCTTGAAGTTCTTCAATGGCTGATTGAATTGAGGGAATGGTTTCTAGGCACTTTCAACACTCTATTCCTTCATAGAACTTGTAGGTAATCTTGTTGAGAAACGGTAGGAATAAGTTTGAAGAGAAATGGTGGAGGATTGCTCTCGAATTTGGAAGAAATTTGAGAGTAGGAGACCCACAATCTAAACGCTTATTGCCTTCGATTGGGGGATCGATCTTTCTCGATTCTTATTCCGTATTGTTGCTCCTACTTCAGACTTTATAGGAGGAGCTTAAACCGACATTGAGAGCTCCAGAATCTTCGTTATTTAGAGATCGAACTTTTTGGATAATTTTTTGGAGATATCAACTCCGATCATATCCTTACCGACCATGGCTTTGAATACTAGTCGTTGGATGTGATGATCCGTGCGTGTTCGCTCTAGCTCATATCAAATTTTGGAGGAGATCCGACGGTTGAGATTTGAGTTTGAAAGATTTTGCTCGGATGGTCACGGTAGATGCTCTTATTCTAATTAGAGTGGCATTTCTGTAATTATCCATTCTTCAAGGGGTATTTTGGTAATTTGTCACTTTCTGAATATTTTATTATTATTTTCCTCGAAAAATCCATAATTTTTCTACAAATTTCTCATCGCTTTTTTTATCATTTTTCCCTTTTTTTTGAATCTTGAGATTTCTTCTAGATAAGGAATTACAAATCCAGAAAGATTCTTGATAATTGATAAAATGACTTTTTTGCCCTTTTGATTTACTTTTTCCTTTCCAATGCTTTTCAAAAGGCCTTTAACTCCTTGAAATCACTTGTTAGGGTACACGAGTGACTTGACTAAGTCCTTTTTTCTTGCTTAATCCTTTAATTTTTTTCCTTTCTATCCTTTGGGTCTTTCATGAGTGGCTTATTCTTATGGGAGATAATTTCCTTCATTTTTGGGGTGTTACATATACATACTCGTTACAAACACAAAATAAGAAGCAAACTCAAAAGAAAACAAAAAATACTAGATTAAAAACAAAGCTTAGTCCATGGCCCACACTCCAAAGTTCGCTCTCATCCACGTCCAACTCTTAGTTACTTGAAAACAAATGATAAACATGGAGTGAGTAAAACTTAGTAAGTAGCTTACTAGTAGGTTCTTAATCGCGACCTTAACCTAGGATATTACTTCTCATTATGTTTTGAGGATCTTATACTGATCTTGAAAACATTCCCCTAAAATAACCTTCAATTTTCTCCCCATCTATCTTTTTTTAAACACTTTTGAAAGTTAAAGAGTAGTTTTGAAGCTTTTTTTTTTTTCTCCCCATCTATCTTTTTTTAAACACTTTTGAAAGTTAAAGAGTAGTTTTGAAGCTTTTTTTTTTTTTTTTTTTGAAAATTCAACCGTATTTTTTTTAAAAAATAATTATGATTATTTTTTTATAGAAAAATTGCAAAGTTTAATGGTAGTTTTTATTAATTTAGATTAACAAAAAAATATAAATTTTTGTTGATTAAGTTAATATTAATTCCGTATTCTTTTTAATTAATGTATCATTGTCATATCGATGTCCTATGAATGACATGTTACCATATCTATTTGGTATCATATTTATTTCTTATATCTATATTTTTTTTTTTTTGTGACTCTGAGATATTTTGCTTTTATAACTAGATATCTTTATGAAATAAGTTTAATTTATGTTGAGATGGAGAATAAAAATTGACACTTAAGAACGTTGATACTTAGGACTTTGATTCCTCTTAGTGTGAAGCTTGCATCTTGCAATTACTTGGGTAGAGAATGTGTTTCACTTAAAATTCACTCAAGAAAAAAAATCAAATAACGAACCATATTTGAGAGAGGATAACTTTTTTTTTTTTTAATCTTTGAGAAATAAGAAAGAATAAAAATTAAAACATGGCATGAATCATCTTCTTGAATCTTTGTTTTGTTCTCCTAAATGTATATAAAAAGAAAAAAAAAATCTTATATATTTTTATATATAATTTAAGATTACCTATTCAATAAAACTCCATCCAAACTTCTACTCATAAATTTAATTATTATTTGTATACAATTGTTAATATGTAAGAAAATACAGGTACAAAATGTTTATACTATTGGTAATACATTTGTAATACCCGAAGAAATAGAAATAGAAATAGAAATAGAAAAAGAAAAAAAAAAGGAAAAGTCGAGAGAGGGGCAAATAGGTAAATTTGCCCCTCCAACCATCTAAGGGGTCCAAATGAAACCCCATCGAGAGTCTTGCAAAAGAGAATAGTGAGAGAAAGGGGTAGAGAGAACCTAGAGAGAGGAGAAAGGATGAACCGCCGGAAGACTCACCGAAAACTACCGTCGGAGTCTATTTCGGTGAAGATCATGATGCAAAGAGGTGAAGATCATGATGCAGGGAGACTTTCTTGGAAGGGAAAAGAGAATGTGGGTGGCCGGAGTCCCATTTTTCATCAAGAAATCGGAAAACCCGCAAGGTAAGGATCTTGAACATTTTCTAAGATCTATGGTTTTCCTTTGTGAATCAAGATCTAAAATCTTGATATATTCATCTAGGAACAACTCTACGCATGATCTGTGAAGAAGTTTGGCCGAGACCTCAACCCAAAGGTGGAGATCCAAGAGTCGTCCGAGAACGGTGAGTGAACTTTCGACGTTCTTAACTCGTCCGGTAGTCAAGTAAAAATTACAAAAAAAATACTAGGACGTAGCCCGTAACACGATCTAAAACTTTACCGAAGGAATCATGTCGATCCGATCTACTGATCGAAAGATATGAAAATCGGAAAAGAGGACTGTGTTTCGGTTTTCAGAGGGCAGAGAAGAAAGAAGAAAAAAAAAAAAGTCGGCCGGCAAGCGGCAGTGGGCGGCGACAGGCACCGAACACGCGTCAACCATCCACTGGAGCAACGCAGCTCCAGTGAGGCGTCGACACGTGTTGCTTGCAAGCCGGGCCAAACCGCGACGCGAGCCGAGCCAACCGGACCGGCCGGCCCGCTACTACGCAGAGACGGGCGCGCGTGCAGCCTGCGACTGGCGCCTTCCCGCACGCGTGACCACACACTCCCAGCCTGCTACTGGCGCGTGAGCATGCATGGGACGGCCAATTTGGTCCGGTTGCTTTTTATTTGCCCGATTTTTGTCCCGATTCCAGTTCTAATACTATTTTTAGGTGAATAGGGACCTAATTTAAAGAAATCAGTATTTTTGGACACCTCACGCGCAAAGAAACACTAGAAAAAGGGCACGCGTCAACCAGGTAAGTCACCACTCGGTATTTAGGAAGAAGTACTTGTAGGATTCGCTTGGATTGCATGCATGCTAGTAGTTTTACTTCATATTAGCTCTCCATGTAAATTATTTGTCAGAGTATTTGATATGATTGTATTGGGTGATTAACATGAGTGTTGTCGTATGCTTTATGCTTTCGCTGTATGTATGCATGCATTTAATTTATGTTGGAATTGTGTATTCCGTGTTCCGGGTGCTTGATGGAGGTCATCGCCCCGTTGAGCCGGTATGCCTAGTTTGCATAAATTATATAGTACGATGTTAGAAGACGATTGCATGCACACTCTGTTAATTGCTAGGGCCCATTTCTAGGATAAGCTTAGGAAATTATTGTTAGGAGCGATATGTAGCTCAAGCCAGATGTATTTTTTCCTAGGAACTTAGCGGTTTACCATGGCAAGAGGGTACCTCGGAGTGTTCATAGATTGCTAGCATTAGAACGGTATCTATAGCTTCGTGGGAGGACCAAGGGTCCTTTATCAGTCCTTACTGCTCTTAGACATTTCGCATGGGAAATGTGTCCCCACGTCGTACAGCCTATTAGTTGCATGGGAATGGTTGGGTCGCGCCCCCCATAGGGGGACTATATGGGCGTAGGGGTATTCAGCACACCCCTAGGCTAGATACCACATGTAGTCCTAGATAGCCATGTAGAGGTAGCACCTTATAGAGAGATACCGACCACATTAGCTTGGCGTAAGAAACCTCTAGGCGTTTAATGAAAGGCCGACGAACCAGTGAAACCCAAGGGGCAAGCTCTTTTACTTATTTGAGCGAACATTCGCTCCTCCTTCAGTTCAATTGGCTCCCCAGCCGGTGCCTTTGTTATGCACAATTGGAGCTCTTCCTCAGGTTCGACGCTCACCGGAGCAGTTATGCCGTCGTCGATTACCTCTGTGGATTTGGGGAGCTCTTCCTCGGGATTAAGGACGTTAGGTAGGACTGATGCAGTCACCATGAAAAGGGCCGGCTCGTCCTCCTC